GAAGAGAGAAGAAGAAAGAAAAAGGAAGATGAAGAGAAGAGGGAGGGGATAAGGAGGAGATGAGGAGAAGAAGGAAGAGAAGGATCAGAGAAAAAGGAGAAGAAAGAGAAGGGGAAGGAGGAGGAGAGAAGGGGAAGGGCAAGGAGTGATAGGAGGAAAAGAAATAGAGGAGGAGGAAAAATGGGGGAGAAGGAAGAGAAGAGAAAGGGAAGGAGAAGGGGAAGAAGAGGTAGAGAGGGAGGAGGAGGAGAAATGGAAGAGGACAAAGAGGATGGAGGAGGACAAGGAGGAGGATAGCAGAAGGAGGAGGAGGAGGAAGAGAAAAAAGAAAGTGGAGGAAGAAGAAAGAGAAGGAGGACAACAAGAAGAAGAAGATAGAGAGCAGGTGAAGAGAGAAGAAGAAAGAGAAGGGGAGAGGAGAGGGAGGAGAGAAGGAAAAGGAGAAGAAGGAAGAGAAGGATCCAGAGAACGAGGGAGAAGAAAGAGAAGGAAGGGATGAGGAGGAGAAAGAAGAAGGGAAACAGGAGGAAGAAGATAAAGATTGATCATTGGAAGAGCCCAACAGGAACAGGAGAACAAAACTGGTTCCTTGGTTCCATATCAGTGCAACAGAAGCAGGAAGGAAGGAGGAGGAAGAGCAGATTTTACAGAGATGCGAGTCGATGTAGAAAAAAGAACAATTCTAGCCGGACTACCTGATCTTTTACGGGAGTAACGTAACCCTTCGTACGCCAGTCCACCTGCTTGGGTGTCTCAGCCGTGGCTGATTCTTGGAAGTCAACGTCACCCTCTTCGTACTGTTCGGCTTCCTGGGGCTGGAAACCATTCAACATCTGGTTAAACTCCTCATCTGTCTGGAGAAGAAATCAGGAATTTTGTCTCCCGCTTGTAAACCTTCATACTTTTCAGCCGGACAGCAGAAAAGCCGTGGGGGGAAACTGAGGCAGAGAAACGTGCAGATGGAAATTGGAGCCGCCTCGGTAAGGTTGTCATTGAAGGGAGGCCAATGGGTAGCCCTCTAGCCTAGAGCACTGTTTCTCAAGGTTGGCGACTTCAAGTCCCAGAATTCCCCAGACAGCATTTGGGGACTTCAACTCCCAGAATTCTCCACTCAACATCTGTGAACTTCAATTCCCAGAATTCCCAAACCGGCATTTGTACACTTCAATTCCCAGAATTCCCTCACCAGCATGTGTAGACTTGTACTCCCAGAATTCCCTAGCTGGCATTTGGGGACTTCAACTCCCAGAATTCCCCAGCCTGCAAGCACCACTATGAATTCTAGCTCTAACTTTACTGTAAGATTACACGGACAATCAATCAATGTGCAGATAATTCTTGACTTTATCCATTTAATGACCGTTTGAAGTTACAACAGCGCTGATAAAAGTGACTTCATTTTTACCCTTACGACCGCTGTAGCGTCCCCAGGGTCACATGATCAAAATTTGGGTGCTGAGCAATTGGCTCCTATTTATGACGGTCGCGGTGTGTCCCGGGGTCACTTGGTCCCCTTTTGCGACGAGTAAAATCAAAGGGGAATCCAGATTCGCTGAACAACCGGGTTACTAGTTTTAACCACTGCAGGGATTCACTTAACAACAGCGGCACAAAAGGTCGTAAGATGGGGCAAAACTCACTGAGCACCTATCTCACTTAGCCGCAGAAATTTGGGACTCCATTTTGGTCGTAAGGCGAGGACTACCTTGACTTTGGCTGTCCAATGAGAAGAGAGGACTTGTTAGAAAAGAATCGGATATCAGGACGGACAGAAGGGAAAAGGAAAAGGAGATGCCCAGGGGTTGGATTCTACCGGTTTGGGTGAACCCGTTGCTTCAAAGATTAGCTGGCACCGAACCGGTTGGCTGCAACGAGCATTTGGGCCTGTGCATCCACACCACTGCTCTTTCCTGTGCTTTATTTCCTCCGTGCCTCAGCTGTTTTATTCACAGGGACTGCTGTAGAAGGTCAGTATTAGAGCTTTTCTAAACGCAGAGGGCGCGCGCGATCACGGAACCGATTGTTATACCGGTGGAATCCCACCCCTGGGGACGCCATAAAACAGCGCTGGCAAATCTTTTTGTGGTGGTGTGCCAAAAAGTGTGCGTGCGTGCCGGCACGCTCCATAAAATGCGCCCCAACTTCCCTGTGCATGTGCGCGCAACACCCCCGCCTCCTTGCCTGCACTATGCATGCATGAGCCTCCCAGCTGATTTGAGGCCGATTTGAGGGCATTTTCGCTGTCTCAGAGGCCCGAGGGAAGCCTCTGCAGCCTCGAGAGGCCGAAAAACGGGCCTTCCGGAAATACAAGGAGAGTCCGTTTTCAGCCTCCAGGGGGTCTCTGGAGCTTGGGGGAGGCTGTTTTTGCCCTCCCAGAAGCTTGAGGAAAGCCTCTGGAGCTTCAGGAGGCTGAAAATGGCCCCGTTTTGGCACTTCTGGTATTTCCGGAAGGCCCGTTTTTCGGCCTCCTGAGGCTGCAGAGGCTTCCCTTGAGCCTCTGGGAGAGCGAAAATGGCCTCAAATGGGCTGAAAATCAGCTGGGAGGCACACACATATGCAGTGCAGGTAAGTTTGGTTGGGGCTCACATGCCCACACAAATGGCTCTGCATGCTACCTGTAGCACACGTGCCATAGGTTCGCCATCATGGCCATAGGATTGAGACGGCTAGATAGTGTCATCAACACAACAAACATGAATTTGGCCAACTCTGGGAGACAATGGAGGGCCGAAAGACTTGGCGTGCGGTGGTCCGTTGGGGGTCGCAAAGATCAGACACAAACTTAGCAACTCCACAACCACAACCACAACAACCCCTTCTAGAGTTTGCCTGGTTACCAGATCACCCAAGTGGTTCATGGCCAGTTGGAAGCTGTGTTTGCCCCGAGCGGCTTCCAAATTGTGCCGTTCAATTCTCCACAGGTTCTTCTCCCAGACCGTCCGACGGAAAGCTTCTTCCTCCTGTAACGACACAAAGGGCCCGTCACAAATTGAGACACAGAAACGCTTCTCTCCCAAACCCCAAGGAACCCTCCCCCCCCAGTTGCCATGAGGAGAGGGGGAGAAATCTGAAGGGGCAGTGCGGCTGTTTAAAACCGAAACTGCATTCCATTCTTATCTTGCCAAGATTGTAACTAAGCTACTGGAATTTCTGCCTCCCTAATTGGAGAATATATTTGATGACTCTCAGCTATGAACATGTTTTCGTGAGAGAATATGAATTATGATACACCCAGACTTGTAACTAAGCTACCGGAATTTCTGCCTCGAAAATCCCTATTTGGAGAATGTGATTGATGACTCTCAGCTATGAACATGTTTTTGTTGGAGAATATGAATTATGATACACCCAGACGGGTGGGAGGAAACAGGGTCATAGATGATAGTGAACTACGTGTCTCAGAATCGGCTTCATACAGGTCATGCAGACATGTTTGCTCCTGTTATGCGCTTGTTGGAGTTGGACTCTGAGGGACAGGAGGAACAGCCGACAGGGAGTGGAGGTGTGGCTACGGAGGTTGTGGAGGAGGCTGGGGAAGGGCAGAGGCTGCTGGACAGTCAGAGGAAGAACCAGGCCCATCCTCTCTGCATCCTAGGACAGGCAGGGAGGAACGGAGAAGGCAACAACTTGGCTTACGAGAGAGGAAGCGGCCATGATCCTCCTCATTGGTTGCAGCTGGGGAGACGACTATGTAAGAGAGACGATTACAACACAGCGTTGCCAGAAACAAAGCGTGTGTTATTTTGGGCTGAAGTTATCTTGGTTGGCGTCCTTCCAACAGACTCTGCCTTGTTATCTCCTTGAAGTTGGTAATTACTTATCCTGGTCTGTTGTGGAAATTCCTTCATTGTAGTTTGTTTTGGTTTTTTATTTCACCTCTGTTGGCTCATTAAATTTGGACTGTATTGCTTTCTTTCGAAGACTATTTTTGAATACGTTTTATCTCCAACGGAGAATATTGAACAGTGGAGCCAAGTTGGAGGCATTAAAGGACATTTATTTACGTTTTGGATTTTGTTACATTTGTGTTACGCTCCGGGTTATCACAGCTCCTAATAAATCCTTCGAAGTTTTTGAAGCTTGGCTCAAGGCTCATGATAATTGGGGCAACTGCCAGAATCCTGACACTAGCCTGATAAAAGGAGCAGCAACAGAGAGATAGATTTCGAGGCAGGTAGTCCTCGTCTTACGACCACAACGGAGCCCCACATTTTGGTTGCTAAGCGAAACAGTTGTGAAGTGGGTCTTTTGCCCCGTTTTTACAGCCTTTCTCGCCATAGTTGTTAAGTAAATCAAGGCAGTGTTTAAGTGAATCTGGTTTCTTCCCCATTGACTTCGCTGGGCAGAAGTTCGCAAAAAGGGATCACATGACCCCGGGGACACGGCAAACGTCCTAAATATGAGTTGGTTGCCGAGCATCTGAATTGTGATCACATGACCATGCTGCAACGGTCGTTAAGGGTGAAAAGTTGAAGTCCAAACTATCTTAAAGCACGCTAATTGGGGAATTCTGGGAGTTGGAGTCCACCCATCTTAAAGCTGCCAAAGTGGAAAGCCATTGATGTAACCGTATGAGACCGTAGAATTAGGTCTTCTGGACACACTTCCCCTCGGGACTATCTCAAAGGCTGGCACGAACTCACCTCCAGGTAGCCCTTAGCGTGCGTTTCTTTCCATCCTTTCCATGCTCCTTCCAGGGCCAGATTCACAGGGCTGCAGGACACCTTCAGGAAGACTAGGGTCGCCACGATGAGGCGAAAAACCAACAACATGGCCTCCATCTTGGCGGAAAGGAAGATATTCAGAGGGTTAAGGATGCTCAGAGTTGGAGACCTTGTGTCCCTCCGTGAATTTATTTACTCCGTGAATGTATTTATTTACTCCGTGAATTTATTTACTCAACTGCTGTTTCCCTCCTAAATAGAAACTTGGCCTTTGTACCAATGAAAATGGAAGGCAGACGCCGGCGGGTGGGCGGGGCAGCGGGGGGGCGGGGCTTCGGCAACATTCGCCGTATAAGATGCACGGACATTTGCGCCCACTTTTGGGGGTGGAAAAAGTGCGTCTTATGCTCTGAAAAATACGGCATCTTTGCCTCTCTTGTTAGATTTCTCATCCAATATGATTGTACAGTTGGAAAACGAGGAGGATCCGGGGTCGCCAAAGTTTTGGACCTCAGGGACCACCAAACTCATAATTTTAAATCCCGCAAACCAGAGACCCTGGGAAAATCCTAAAAATCGTCTGCAGGAAAATTCCCCACCCCGTTTTCCTACCGATTGATCGTTCTTTATTTGGGATTGTAGGATACCATCTCCAGCTCTGTTCTCAGGGGGAGAAAGAGAGAGACTTTTGGCCTCATGCAAGGAAAGCAGCAGAAGCAGCAGAAGTCTTTCTTTCTCTCCCCCAAACTCTGCCAGAAATGAGTCTTTGTGAGACTTGCTGCACCGGCGCAGCCTCTTGGAGCAGGAGGCCTTGCAGGGTCTCGAATTCTCCTTTCTGGCAGAGTTTGGGGGAGAGAAAGAAAGACTTCTGCTGCTTTCCTTGCATGCAGCCAAAAGCAGAAGAAGAAAGAAGCAGAAAGAAGCAGCCCGGCGGCCAGGCCAGGTGCCTGGGGCGAATGGGGCAAGTGCCCCCCCTCCCCCCTCCCCTCACTACCTGGTGTTGTTTGCAATGCAAGCGACGCAAGCCTTGTGTTCCCACACAGCCTGGATTCATTGCTTTTGGGGGTGACCTTTCTCTGCGGACCACCAATATTTTCTCGCGGACCACCTGGGTTGGCAACCACTGAAATGGACCACTGCAGTTGTTAAGTTAGCAACATGGTTGTTAAATGAGCCAAGGTCACAAAAAGGGGAAGCTTTTTTTTTTACTTTTTATGAGCCTGTAATAGCAATAGCCTTTAGACTTACATACCGCTTTACAGTGCTTTAGAGACCTCTCTAAGCGGTCTACAGAGTCAGCCTCTTGCCCCCAACAATCTGGGTCCCCAATTTTGCCCACCTCGGAAGGACAGAAGGCTGAGTCAACCTTGACCCTGGTGGGATTCGAACTGCCAAAGTGCTGGCATCCGGCAGGCACAGGAGTAGCCTGCACTTCTGTCCTAGGCTCCCCCCAAAAGCAAGACGCCAACTCTGGGTCCCGGCAAAACTTCTTTTATTCAATGAATGCGAATTTAATTCATTAGCATTCAGCCAACAGCTTGGCAAACGGTCTTGCAAAGGTACGCTAATTACCTCAGACCTTATCTATCCCGGAAAGCAGCCATGTAAATATTTCCACACCCAGTGCTGACAGGGAAGGGCTGGGTTACACAGTCCAATCTTCATGAGGCTGGAACAAAACGAACGAACGAACAAGCAGGTTGTTTCCTTCAAAAAGCTCCCTCCCCTGTTGCTCCTCTTTGAATCCTGATGGGCCTCACTCCCACGTGGACCCCGAGTTCTTAATTTTTTCCTTCCTTTTGGCAGCTCTGGGGTGGGGTGCAGGCTGGGAACTAGTTCCAGAAGCTTCCCCCGACTCACTGCTATCCAAGCCCAAAGGAGTGGCCCAGGTTCCTCCCTACCCTCCTCTCTGTTGGACTCCGCTGCCAGCTCCGTCAGCCGCCAGCGGGGCCACAACACTGCGTTCTAACTACTTCACCCTTAGCTTCGGGGTGGGGCCCGGGGCAATTGAGCATTTACTGGCCGGATGCCCTTCCTGACCCCTACATGGAGTTAGCAGCGGATATTTTTTTCTTTTATGCCCCCCGGAAACGATGCTGCCAAGAATCGAACCCTCAACCTTTGGAGTGGGAGGCAAGAGTTTTGGCCTCTAGGCCACCGTACCAGTCTAATTCCCCCTTACAATAAAGTAGAATCGATTCATCGTTCTGGGCTTCCTGTCTGGGCCATTGCAAGGCTAGCCAGCCAAATTCTGCCTCCCTTCCCATTGCAGGCTGTTCCTGTGGTTCTGCTCCCTTAAACACACACAAGCACGCACACACACACACAGAGAGAGAGAGAGAGAGAGAGAGAGAGAGAGAGACAAATGTGAGTGCACCCGTGTTTGCACAGAGTAAGCCAACCTTGCTTCATCGATATTACAGCATTTCTGGGAGAACTAGAAGAAGCGTTTCTGCCAAAAATCCCGTTTCCAAAGGTTTAAAAAAATGCAGGGTTGGTGATTGAGGGTTGGGTGGCAGAATTAGGATTTAAGGTGCAGGAATGTTTTTCCCAACCCTCCCAAGGGGTCTTCATGCTGTGCCCATTGCTACCTTTTCAATGTTTGGGATAATGACCACTTCCTGATTTTTGGAGCTAAGATTAGAACGTGCAACCACATCACAGGCGATTAACCGATTCCGGGTCTTGTCTTTTTGAGTCCATTTCTGACTTCTGCAAAGCGTGTTCTTCTCGTGTAACAGATAATCAGAGTTGGAAGGGACCTTGTAGGTCATCTAGTCCAACCCCCCCCCCAAACGGGAGACCCTACACCATTTTTGATAGATGAGAGCCCAATCTCTTCTTGAAAGCCTCCAGGGGTGAAGCTCCCACAACTTCCGAGGGCAACTTCTGTTCCACGGGTGGATGGTTCTCCCTGTCAGAAAGTTTCTCCTTATTTCCAGGTTGAATCTCTCCTGGTTCAGTTTCCATCCATTGTTCCTTCTCTGGCCTTTAGATGCCTTGGAGAGAATAGCTTGACCCCCTTCCTCCTCCTCTCTGGGGCAGCCCCTCAAATATTGGAAGATGCTATCCTGTCTCCCCTGGTCCTTCTCTTCACTAGACTAGCCAGGCCCAGTTCCTGCAATTATTCTTCCTATGTTTATGTTATGTATGAAATCCACAAGTCTTAAAGTTGCCAAGTTTGGGGACCTCTGTTCTGGAGTGTCTACATCTTCTTTACATCATGGTGAGCCAAACTGGATGAAATATTCCAGGTGTGACCTTACCAAGGCCTTATAAAGTGGCACTAGCGGTTCATATGCTCTTGATTCTATCCCTCGGTTAATGCACCCTACGACCTTGTTGGCTTTTTTTGACAGGTGCAACTGCCCCCCCACCCCAAAATGATGTCATAATTCCCAAAATGTCTACCATTCCCACCAACAACAATCTACCCAGCTGCCTCTCCTTGGGTGTTTATTGACCACACAAAAGAGGTGTGTGTGTGAGAGAGAGAGGGAGAGAGGGAGAGAGAGGGAGAGAGAGAGAGAGGAGAGAGGGGGAGAGAGGGAGAGGGAGAGAGGGGGAGAGAGGGAGAGGGAGAGAGAGGGAGGGAGAGGAAGAGAGAGAGATATCAAATGAGATGACATGAAAAGGGGCACAAGCATCTTAGGGCCCAGGACAAATATATCCCTGGCTTGCAGAATTGTCAAGCAGAGCTTCTAGAGGCAGGGCCAGTCTACCTTTAAAAAAAAAAAAACCATGCACTTCCTACGATCTTGAGTGCAGCTCCCCATTTTAATGGACAATGGCCGACGCGCCCCTTGCCAAACAGGAGTTCTGTCCCCAAGTTTATGACCTCTTTCTTCCCCCCCTGTACGTACCACTTTCCCGTAGAAAAGGCTAGGAAAAGCGACGTCTCCTGCCTGCCCGTCTCTCTTCAACGGCAGAAGTCACAAGATCTCTTGAATCTTCTCTTCTCCACCCCCCCCCCCCCCGCCCACCCCCAGTTTCCTTTCATGAGCCCTGCCTCCACCTGCTGGGTTTTGCACAAGCTGAAAGCCACAGCTTGGTGACGCGAGCCCAACTTCCACGCAGTCTCCATCCGTAGCCCTCTGGTGCAAGAGAGGATGTGGTTTTCCTTGCGGTGAACTCCGGATCTCGGAGGTTTGGTCACTCGAGCTGTCTCGTGAGGTTCAAAGTGTCAACTCATAAAACATTCCTATGCCTGTTTTAGGAGTTACCATTTAAAAAAAAAGGGTTTTGGGGGGTGTGTGTGTGTGTGGAGGAGGAATGAAATCTGGAAGCGCAGTGCAACAATTTGAAATCGAAAGTACCTTCCAACTCTTCTCTTTCAAAGATTGTAACTTAAAATACCAGAGCTTTTGTCCATGAATATATTTAATTGGAGAATGGGATTGACGACACCCAGCCTGTGAATGGGCTCAATTGGAGAATCTGATTGATGACACACCCAGGGGGGAAACAGGGTCACAGGGGATTGTAAATTACATATGCCAGAGTTGGCTTCATACAGGGCAGGGCCAGTAGGTCGCCTCTAGTGAATCCTTTGAAGTTTTTTTGAAGTTTTGATGGGCCATCTGCTAAAATAAAGCCAGGTCACGCACACACTTGAAAGTAAATCAGGAAGCCTTTAATTGTGGGGTCTGTCCGGCAGGAATCCTTATCCACAGGAAATATTCCTGTGTAAATCTTGTAACAATCCTGGCTAGTTAGAAAGCTGATAAAAATAACAGCAGTTAGACAACTTGCAGACCTCAGCTAAAAGTTAGGAATAGAGAGGGCAGCAAATCAAATGTATAATTAGATCACTCCTAGGGCATTCATTAGCCAAGACTCGGGAATAGGGGCAGCTAGAGACCAACAGAGGGAATTGTAGAATTATTACTAAAATGTTTATTAGATGGTATTTCTTATTATCTCGCTTTCTCCCACCTTCTCCTTTAGTGAAAAATGCATAAAACTTACTCAATCCTTTGTTCTTGGCTCTTGGCATTTTGACCAAGAGCCCTTTTCCTTGGATTACTCCAATAAAAAGCTATCAGAAAACCTGCACCTTGTGTCTGGCATCCGTCATTGGCCCAAATCGGGGACAACAGCTGCAAGGGTCATAAG